ACACTGGTGAATCAATTGATGGAGAAGTAGAGTTGACCAAATTCAATATGGTATTCCAATAATTATTGTTCTCTTCAAAATTGTTAAGGTCGTGATCAAGGTGGTCATGGCTATTTTCAATGAAACGATCTGTAAGCCCTTCCATGAAATTTAGAACTAGAACTGTGTTGTCCATACTTTCTTTGACTTCTCCAATGTTGTTGTTTGATTTTCCCAAGTTAGGGGTCAAAAGTTGTTTATTCGAGAAATTCAACGTTGATGTTGGCACCTCTAGAGTTCTAGTGATTAGGGATGGCAATTTGAACCCGGCCCGACGAGGACCCGACCCCCCGATCCCGATTAAAACGGATTTTCTTAGAAAATAATCCCCATAGAGCCGGGAATGGTATTGAAAATTAATCCCCGTTAATTTTCGGGCCGAGAACGGTGATAGGTTCCTCGGCCCCGGCCCTGCCCCGAAATCCCTGAATAGTGCCCCGTATATATATATATATATATATGTTTAGGAGTGCACGGATATATATGTTTAGGAGTGGAGTGCACTGGACTATATTATATTATATTATATCTAATAAATATCTACCTCAACACTTTGATATCCATCTAAACTCTCTCTCTCACTCACTTCTCTTTATCTCTCTATCCCGCACTCACAGACTCAAATCTCTCCATGTCTTCCCGATTTTTCATCTCTCTCTCTCTCCCTCTCCCTCTCTGACTTCTCTCATCTCTCTCGATCCCTCACTCACTGACTCAGATCTTTCTCTCTCTGAGTCTCACAATTTCTCTCATCTCTCTTCCTTCTCACTCACTCAGCAATCATCCAGATCCACCACCACCGATCTGAACAGATCCTAAACCGTGGCCCGTCCGTGAAGCTTCCGTTGCCACCGATCTAAACAGGACCGTGACTGTGAAGCCCCCTTTTCTCTCTCTCTCTCTCTCTCTCTCTATATATATATATATATATATATGTTGTTGATGTTTTAATTTTTTTTAAAGTTGTTATATATCTCTCAAGTAATGTTAGAGATTTTAAATATTTTACCAACAATGTTGTTGATGATTGTTGTTGATCTGAATAGTTGGTGTGTGTGTGTGTGTGTGTTGTGAACAGATAAGTCAGGGATTTTTCGGGGTCGGGGAAACCCGATCCCTGTTAGGGGACGGGGGTGGGGGAGGTAATGGCTTCCCCGCCGGGGATCGGGGGCAGGGATGGGAATGTTTTTACTTTCGGGGATCGGGGACGGGGAGTGGCATCCTCGGCCCCGCCCCGGCCCGTTGCCATTCCTACCAGTGATGATGGAGCCATTTTCTTTGAGTAGTGTCGTTAGTCATGACTCTTTACATGCTGTCAATACATCCAGACATAGGGGTTGTAGCGGTAGTGGCGGTGGTGGTAGTGGTGGCAGAGCATTAGCTTTGTTGAGGATAAGTTGAGCATTATCGGTAATTTCCATATGTTGTTGCTACATTGCGGTGTTGTTTAAAATTCAAGGTATAATTTTTTTCGTTTACATTTGTATGTTGTAGTTGTTGTTGGTTCTAATTTATATGTTACCAAAAAAAATAAAAAATCTATGGGCAACCCAATTCTAGTTCATGAGTCATGGTACATCCATTACTAGAAACATGTGCGTACTTATTATGTGGGCTTTATTCTTTGGTTGCATCTTTTGTTGTCCACATACATGTTAAACCATTGGGATTTTTCTGACATTCAAAATAGTTTTCCTTTCATTAAAAGGATTACTATTTAAAAAATAATTAAAATATAAATACATAAAAACACTCATGCCAGTGGTGAAAACACAATGCTATGGGGGTTGATAATTTAATGATATCATGAGTCATTCTGGTAATAGTAACTAAGCCTTTAAATGAGTAGGTATTTTGGAGATGAGTAGTAGTGATGACGATGAATGGAATGATGATGAAGATGCTGAAGATGAAGGCAGCACATCGCAAACCCAACAAAATAATAATATGCTCTTAGCTACGACAGCAACTGTTGCAGTGACATATGAGACAAATTATTTGATAAAAAAATCATGTAGGATATCTAGTTTAACAGTGTGGAAGTAGATTGTAGAATTACAAGAAGGGAATTAGACAATAATATTTGAAAATTTTCGAATGAAAAGAGAGGTATTTTATCAATTGTATGATTTGTTACAGACAAAGTATGTCCTTGAAACTGGACGAAAAGTCTCAGTTCAAGAGCAAGTTGCAATATTTTTGTATATTGTTGGCGATGACATTCGATACAAAAATGTCCAAGAAAGATTTTAACATTCCGGCAAGACTATTTCAAAATACTTCAAGAATATGCTAAAAGCTGTTACAATGATATCTATTGATTGGGTAAGGCCTCAAACGAGAAATGGTGTGCATCCATATATTCAAAGCAACCACAAGTATTATCCTCATTTCAAGGTAAATAATTAACTACAAGTGGAACTTGGGTGTTACATATAATTAATGTTGGTAAGATATTTCTAATAATTTGTGACTAAAAATATTTTTATTTACTATTTTGTAATAGGATTGTATTAGAGCAATTGGCAGAACACACATCAAAGCATATATATCTCCAGATAAACAACCTCGTTTAGTAAGTAGAAAGGGGTATGCGACTCAAAACATAATGGTCGCATGTGACTTTGGTATATGTTTCACATTTTGCTTACCAGGATGGAAAGGAAGTGCACACGATACTCAGATCTTCTTAGATACAATTAGAAATCCTAGTTATAATTTTCCAAAACCACAAGGAGGTAACTATTTTATATTTGATTGCTATAGTAGATGCACCACACTCACATCTTCATATTTATTTTTACATTTATAATTACTTACTTGAATTTCATTTTGGAATTTTAAAATAAATGAATTTTACTTGGTGGATACTGGATATCCAAACATAAAATGATATCTTACACCTTACAAAGGATAGAGATATCACCTAGCTCAATTTGAACATAGTCAACCCCTCCAAAATGAAAAAGAAAAATTCAACCAAACACATCTATCACTTAGAAGTGTAATAGAAAGAACGCTTGGGATTTGGAAAGCAAGATAACCGATGATAAAGAATATCCCACCAAACTACAAGTGGCTAACCCAAGTCAAACTTGTTTGTGCAACAATGGCAATTCATAATTTCATTCGACGAACTGAGTTCCACGATATTGCATTTGACTCCTATGATAGATTCACGGATTATGTGCCTAATGAAGAAGAAGGATCCTCGTCTTAACAAGCACGCCATAGAAATCATGTTGCATGTGATGACAACAAGATGGAAGTGAGAAGACATAATATTTGTATATCAATTTGCAGACGAAATTAGGAGTTCTTTAAATAGCTAGGAAGTTTTATTTTTATTACCTTAATAGTAATTTATTGTATTTTTATTGCAATGACATTTTTTTGTTCCCTTGTGAACTCAATAATAATAATAATAATAATAATAATAATAATAACAATAACAATAATAATAATACTAATAATAATAATAATAATAATAATTTATTATGGAAAAATGTACCAAATTAGGTACTAATTATATCAACTCTTATTAATGAAATAACTTTTTCAAAATTTAAAGTGAAGAAAATGACAAAATTACAATTTTTATGTTCATAAGGGAAAAAATGATAATTACACAACAAAAAGCTATTTTACAGTTTATTTATCAAACACTACTCAGCTACTTAAATCCATAATCTCACAGCTGTACCAAACAGGTTACCAGCTTATGTTCACAGCTGTAAATTATAATCTGTTAAACTATAATTTATAATCACTTTCCCACAACTCTACCAAACAGGGCCGATGATGATAATGATGAGTTCAGCTCTACAATTGGCTGTTCATGTCCATCGAAGTCCACGATGATGATGATGATGATGATGAGTTCAGCTCTATAATTGGCCATTCATGTCCATCAAAGTCCATCGTTTTCTCTATCTCTATCATAATAATAAATCTCTCGAGTACTATTAGAGATTCTAAATATTTTACCAAATGTCTCACGTGGAGGTGGGATCCTAGCATTTTCCAAATCTCTCATCTTAACGCAGAGATCTCATGTCTCTGACTTGTCTCTGTCTTGATATATTGTTCATAACTTTTTTGAGAACGGCTCTTCTATAAATAATTAAACATACAATGATGCTACATCTATAAAATTTGAGTTATTCTAAATCGGCTATATTTGCATATGTCGATCATTTGGGAGGTCGTCCGGTAGGTCATCAAAGAAGATGCCGGTCATCCGAGTGGATGTCGATTGATACATCGTTTGATAAGGGTAATAGTCATAGTTAACAAAAGTGACAATCACGGTTGGTAAGTGTGACGCTGATCATAGAAAAGTTGTTTAGCCCATCATCTTATTGACATAATTCAAACAATTCGAATAAGTTCAAATTCGATGTATTCATCATTTTTCTTAAACATAAAACATTGTGTTAGTGTCAAATCAGACACTATAAAATCAGTCCACACGTACACGAATTCATCAAATACATTATTTTTTTATTTTTTATTTTTCTATATTTTTTAAGTAAGAAGACCGAGACTTCAACTTGAAGCGAAGCTTCCCACCCAACCAAGTCATGGCTTCAATATATGGTAGTAGCACATAAGTGAGTATTTGTCTCTTTTGCTATGGCTGCTATGCAAAATTTTTATTTGTCATATTAATTACTCGGGATAAAATAATTGTCATATTATAAGTATTAGAATAAGATTATTAGGTTTATTAATAATTCTCATTAGCTAGGTTATTAATAACCTTTTACATAGTGTTATTGCAATTGGCACATTGACTCATTACATATTACACTCTCACCCATCTGATTTGGTGAGAATTTTGTAAGAATCTCATGACATAATTGTACATTTAATTAGAAATTCATAAACAGAGATTTTAAAATAGAGAATTCTGCTCACACACAACTCGTTAATTAACATTAATCATTGTTGCTCATCATTTAGAACACCGGTGAATCAATTGATGGAGAAGTAGAGTTGACCAAATTCAATATGTTATTCCAATAATTATTGTTCTCTTCAAAATCGTTAAGGTCGTGTTCAAGGTGGTCATGGCTATTTTCAATGAAAAGATCTGTAAGCCCTTCCATGAAATTTGAAACTAGAACTGTGTTGTCCATACTTTCTTTGACTTCTCCATTGTTGTTGTTTGATTTTCCCAAGTTACGGATCAAAAGTTGTTTATCCGAGAAATTCAACGTTGATGTCGGCGCCTCTAGAGTTCCAGTGATGGTGGAGCCATTTTCTTTGAGTAGTGTCGTTAGCCATGCCCCTTTACATGCTGTCAGTACATCCAGACATAGGGGTTGTAGCGGTAGTGGCGGTGGTTGTAGTGGTGGCAGAGCATTAGCTTTGTTGAGGACAAGTTGAGCTGAAGAAGAAGAGAAGGATCTGAGGAGGGTGGATTCTCTGGCCTCGGCTTCAAGTCGAGTGCTTTCCCACTGAGCAATGTGGCTGAGGGTGGCGGCAACTTTTACTTGGCCAGGGTTGAGGGAGTCACTCTTGGGCTTATGAGTCACTGGATCGATACCCATTTTGGTTAATCTTTTCTTGAGATGTGAGTTCCAGTAGTTTTTGATATCATTGTCCGTTCTCTTGGGCAAGTGAGTTGCTATGGCAGACCATCTAGTATAAATCAATTATACTTTCACAGTATTAATAACTAGAACAATTGTACTATGCATTTAGTACATGAATGAGTAATATTATACAAAGAACAAAAAAAAATTTCTTATAAGTATTAGTAAATATGTACTAGTCTTGAAAGAAAAATTTGTTTGTACAATGTTTTCAGAAATAAATATGTCAAAATATGCCAATGAGATTAATTTTAAGTATAACTCATCACACCAAAAATTGAATTTAGAGACAAACTTCTCTCTAATTCTCAAGTGGACTAGCCGGTCTACTCATCTATTGTTTGCCTTTTACTCGGTTTATTTGGATGTTCTTTTTTAGTAATTATTTTATGATCATGTGTATAGAGCTCTAGATTATATTTATGATTTTTCTACAATCAATTGACAAAAAAATATAAAATAAAATAAAATAAAATAAGTTTAGTATTAATAATAGTACAAATAAGATGAACCCTGTAGTATAGCTTTACAGCAGTAAACTACACATGGTAGGCCATAGATGTGAGTGTATGCTTCGTGTAGTGCACATTTGTTCATAAATTCGACTGCTCTGTATGTTAGAGGACAATGTTTCCTTTGAATAGACACTGCTTTGATATAATACATATGAGTGACGAAAGATTATTTAGTGGTTTAGAATATTATGTGATCATATCATTAATCAATCATAAATTATTATACTCTCTGTTACTTTTTAATCACTTAATGTGAGTGTTTGAGAAGTGAGTTTTTATGTAAGTTTTTTTAGTTTTAGGATATTATTAGATAAAAAAATTTTGGTATTTGGGAAGATAGTTAGGTTTTTTTGTGGTTGGATGTGATGTTTGTGAGAGAAAAAATTAAATAATTATGGAGTTGGATGTGATATTTTGTTTGAATTTGTATTTTTTGATTTTGCAAAAACTTTGTCTTTAGTGAAAAAAATCAAAAAAAAAAACCCAAAACCGAATCTTGCCAAACACTACCAATTGTGAGTTTCACAATTACAACACATGTAGGATACCATGTGGCCGTGCTCGGTACCACCAAATCACTCATACCACCAATTCACTTCTCCATGAGTAACTGGCAATGGTTTAATTAATACATTGTGTTAACAAACAAACAAAAACTATGCATATAATTCATGTGTTTACATCATCTTTCTCATTTTTGTGTTTAGATCATGATCCTTTTCTTTCTTTTTCGTAAGTTATGTTGTATAAAGAGAAAATATATATATATATATATAATTTATATTTTAAAATAAAACATTTATTAAACAGATATTTAATTATAAAAATGTCATAATTATATCATTTTAATAAAGAATTTTATATTAAAATTGTAAATATAGTATTTTCCTTTTTTGATCTCTCAAAAGCAATGTAGCGAACCATTATGCCCTAGTAATTATTTATTTTTAGCTAATTAATTTATTGAAAAAAGGAAAAAAAAGGTATTATAAAAAGTCATGAGGAATACCTCTAGTATTTTTGTAGTAGTTAAAAATTGTCTTGTAACTCCTCATTAGATCACAATCTTCAGCAAGACAAGAAACATATGAAATGAGGGCATCATATGTATCGTTTTTTTGTATGGTAAAATATCGTGTATCATACAATTTGGACAATACTTCATATGCACAAGAACAAGTGTTTTTTTGATCCGGAAAGAAAATGAAAATCGAACTTACAAGAGGATAATTCATCAATAAAGAGAAAAAGAGAAAGGGTGCAACAAGTATTGTAGCAAGAAAAATCGATTCCAAATTAAACTGACACTGAAGAAGAGCAAAAACAAATGACAAACATCACAACAAGGTTGATGAGAAACCACCAAGAGGCGCAAAAACAAATGACAACACAGCAGCAGCAACACTGAAAGAGCACCCATACAAAAACAGGGCAATAATAACCCAAACTAGTCCTTGCAGCAGCAAGCAACCAGCAGCTTCACACCACAAGTGTTTTAAAAATATTTATTAATAAAATTTAAAATATTTGTATATTTTTTATTGTGCACTAGTTAACAAAAAATGTACAAAACCACTGATGTATGAAAATTTTATTTGTATGTACACACAAAAAAAAAAAAAAATGAATGAGCAACACACAATATGATATCACTACTGCTGTAGTATAGAACAAAAATGTTAAACATACATGTTTTTATTCGAAATTTATATATACAGTATGAATGAGGTGGTAAACCATAGCGATATGACGATCTTTTTTTTTTAGTAAATAAAATACAATATTTTGTATGATTTTTTATATCCAAATTTATTGTTGAATATATAAAATAAAAAAAAATTTTAAAAAAAAAGAAAAAGAAAAAAGGAGTTGGGGAATTAGCACACATGGTTCTAAATCGCGGTATAGGGTAACGTAACGGTATCGATCGCGGAGTATCGGTATCAGTAGTATCGATCAATATGTATCAGGAATCGAGTGTCACAGCAGTGAAATTTTAAAAATCATTTCACAAGTTTTTTAATTTTTTCTTTCCCGTACCAGTCCGAACCGATGAGTATCAGCCCGTCGCGGCTTGTGTAACGACTACAGACCAATACGTACCGGGACTCAGCCAATTCTCCTACTATTTTCAATCTCAGCAGTATATCGGCCTGTGTCCGTTGCGGTGCCCTATTTTTCCGATACGTATCGCCCAATACGTAGCATATCGGTCGGTTTTTAGAACTATGTTAATGCATGAACTGATCATGGATAGTGATTAGAAACATTATATAAGAAAATGGTTTAGGGTTGCAGACCTGTTGCCAAGAAGAGCATGTAGTTGGATGATGGACTGCTCTTCCTGCAAGCTGAACTTGCCTCTCTTGATATCAGGTCTCAGATAATTTGTCCACCTCAGTCTACAGCTCTTCCCACACCTTTGCAACCCTATCAACCACACCCACAACCACAATATTAACTATCAAGCATATCTACATCTACATATATATCCAATCACTTAGTCATCGTTTTCCAGATCTTATCAACCCATTTTCTTAAATAAATAAGGGTTGTTTAGCATGTCAAATTTTCGTCAAAAAACTAATTTTAGCCATTTTAAAAAGTTATTATAAAAAAAAAAATTTAAATATGACAAGCCAACGAATTTATTTATGCAATAACTTATTTGTAGACTTGTTTTAAGCCAATAAGCTAGTTTAAAAGTTGAGTGCCAAAGAAAAACCAGTTTTTTTTTTTTTTAATATTTTTATTAGTAAAGTCATTTGTTAGTTGTTGGATTAGTTTCTACAGAAATTCAACCTCCAATCTATCTCTTATAATATAAACATCTAAGAGTTACCTCCATGTCACTATTAAGTCACAAGAACATGGGTAAAAAAATATAAAATGTTGTTGTGTCTGTGTTTGTGTGCATATATATATACTAGCGGTTGGGCACACACGATGTGTGTGCAAATTAAATAAAGAGGAATAAAAGAAAATAATAATGAAATTAATATTATAATGTGTACTTAGCTTAAGTGGTATGAGTCTTCATACTTAAACCCATGGTCATGGGTTCAAGCCTTGTTCATCTCTTTGTTTAACTTTTTTTTTAAAAAATAAAAAAGAAGACTGCCACATGGCATGAGGAGAGTAAAGCAAGCTTCAAGACACCATATTATGTGTTCACTTTATAATAGTATAGATAGATATATATATATATATATTCTAGTTGTGGGTAAACACGTGATGCTTGTGTAAAGACTTATAGTTTACAAACGAAAAAGAAAATGAGTAGGAACCATAATCTAAATATTTGAATCAGTTTGATTTTTCATATACAGTTTGAGTGAAATGAAAGAACTTTTCAAAATAAGAAAAAATGTCATGAAGATAGTGTTCACACAAATTGACCTATACACTTTTGTATAATAGTATATACATATATAGACCTGCTTTTGCAGGCAAGGCAGGCCAGCTTCCATGACCATTTTCTTCAATGTATGCCAAAAGCTTTTGATCTTCTTCAGGTGTCCATGTCCGTCTCTTCAACCCCACATTCTCACAGCATGGTGACCTTCCCATTGTCTTTTCTTTTCTTTTTTTTTTTGTTTTCAACGACACACCACCTATATGTACATGTCCTACTAGATCTTCAAGTTCCTAACCTATCTATTATCTTCTACTATATATATATATATAGAGAGAGACAGAGAGAGAGAGAGAGCGCTAACTATCTAGCCCAAAAAACACGCTTGGACAAAAAAACTACAAGCCAGTGGAAGCGAAATTGGAAAGCGATTGTGTCTGGTAGGAACGGAAAGTCACCATTTATAATGATAATGAATTAAATGTGCCGTACATTAAATTTTTAAGACCGGTGCTACCTTTATAAATATTATTGAAACATATATGTACTGATAATAAATCACTTTTATTTTTTGTATAAATATTTTTTTCAACCAATATTAAAAAATGAATGGTTCGGATCAATAATTTTTTTATTTTTTAGACTTACTTAACAAAAATACACTTAAAAAATATAATATTTGTAAAAAAAAAAAATCTTAAAAAATTCACAATGATTTCTACTCAGTGGCGGAACCAAAAAATTAAATTAGATGAGGCACTCATTAATTACAATAATTTTTATAAAATTATTTCACACAAGTTTTTACGATTGATTTCAAGAAATATCAAAAAAAAATAATTAGTGTGTTTGATTTTAGTTTTCTGAATTCAGTTTTTTGAAAACTGAGTTTTTTTATTTTTCGTATTTTTTTATTTTTAGTAAATATTTTTTGAATTTTAATTAATTTTTTTACTTTTTTAGATGCACCTTACTTAGATGTATCTAAATAATAAAATATATGAAAAAACATATTTTAAAAAATTAATAAATACTCAAAAATACAAAAAAAATATACTGAATTTTCTTTCCTTTTTTTTTTGTTGTATTTTTTGGTATTTAATGTATTTTTAAAATATTTTTTTCACAAATGTTAAACCTTTTTAAGTGTATTTATGTTAGGTGTGTCTAAAAATTAAAAAAAAAATTGCTTAAAATATTTTAAAATTTTAGGGGTAAAATCGGTTCGGTTCGGTCGGTTTTTCATATTTGTGAACCGAACCGCCCAGAAAAATGACATAAACCGATGCGGTTCGGTTTATTACGGTGCGGTGCGATTTTTTCGGTTTTTTGGCCTTTTTTTTTCCCTGGTTGGGCCTCACATTTTGGGCCTATATTTCTATCCATTTTGCATAAAATTTGGGCTCAGGCCATGTAATTCTTACATAGGTTTGGGGCCTCACATTTTGGGCCTATTAATATTATATAAGTCAGTTCGGTTCAGTGCTGTTCGGTTCAAAAAATCAAAAACCGTAAACCAAACCGAATGTACAGAAAAACATAAGCCTAACCAAACCGAATGATTGAAAACTTAAAACACCGACCGAAAATCGTTCGGTTCAGTCGGTTCGGTCGGTTTGGTCGGTCCTTCCGGTTATTCTTTCACCCCTAAAAAAATTCATTCAAAACATTAAAATATGAAAAATAAAAAAGTAAATTTTTTGAAAACTGTTTTCTAAAAACTGGAAACAAACAAGCTGAATGTTATTTGTAGCTAGTGTATAATGGACAACACAAAAAAAAAAATGGATATAAGTCTTAAAATAAATTATATAATGATAAAAAAATTTATACAAAATTTGATTAAAAATTCAATATAATGGTAATACCACGTCATCATTGGTATGTGATATCACCCACTAATGGTAAATAAACACATAAAGAGTGAATCTCTCTTGTCAAATGTAACTAACAATCCATAAGTTTCATATCTTTATAGTGAGATTACTTATACTTGCATATCACTAATAATAACATTGCCGTTATATTCAAAAAATTTCATAGCTAATATGGTTTATTTATAATAGTCTTTTCATTTTCAATCAAAATAACCATTATTGTTTTCATAATTTTTAAAATGTCATTGATATTTCATTCTAATAATATTTTTATAATTTTTTATTTAAAATATTTTTTTATGTTTGCAAAAAAAAAATTTCCAAAATCTAGGGGGGCATATGACCCCCCGGTCACATACTCCCTCCGCCATTGTTTCTACTCATTTTTTTTGTATTGTAATTTTGACACTTAAGAGAATACAAAATTACTCAAATCTACCTCAATCGTGATTAGGTCTCACTTTAGTAAAATTAAAAACTTATTTTTAATTATCACTCTGCTCTAGCTAAGGCCTTCCTTGAATTATATTCTCCCTTTTTACTTGAAAGTGGCAAATTAGTCAGCCGGTCAACATTTTGGCTGGCCGGCCGGCCAAAAACTTGGCTAGCTGTCCAAAAAAGATGGTTAGAATTACTATAGTTCACTTAAAAATAAAATAAATTAAAAAATTAATAAAATAAAATGTCAAATTCAAATCATAATTATTATTTTTTTTTTTAAAAAAAGTTGCAAAAAATTAAAAATTCATCCTAATCGAAACTTTTTAGGGGTACTTACGTATAAATCATAATAAGTGGACTTATTATTTAATAGGTCCTATGGAAAAAATTTATCATAAAAAAAGTCGCTAATTGTAAGTTTTAATAACAATCTATAAAAATCATGACAAAAAAAAATCACTAATTGTCAATTTTTAGAGACGTACGTAAAAAAATTGTCACAAAAAATTATTTTTAGTGATAATTTTACGAAGACTTATTTTCAATAGAACTTGAGGATAATTAAGTCTAACTATTAGAATCTATTGGTAGTTTATTCAACTTTTTAACCATGTTAAAATAATTAAAAAGCTAAGTTAAAAAATATAATAATAATAAATAAAAATAAATTCCAAACGAAGGCTATATTTGTTTTTTTTTTTCTTGAACCAGAAAATTTCATGGAGATATAGTAATTCGCAAACCCTAGCCCCACGGTAATTAATTGACACTCAATTTAATTCAATCCAAAGGTTGGGATCCACACCTAAGTAATTACTTGATCTAGGAATGATTTATAAGCTGGTCGGTCTCAAATCTTTATAACAGTGGATTTCAGACACAACCCACAATAAAAATCTTTGAGTTTTATAACGAAAAACTTGTGTCACTTGAGACATTTACTTGTATTTGTTTAAAGGTACAAAAGTAGGTTGTCGGATTGATATTTTCTCTTCCATACATATTTCTCATGCGAGAGATAATTGAATACCTTGAGGGAGTAATGTGGCCTTCCAATTATGAAATTAGAATACTAAATATTTTTTTTGATCGGCAAAAAAAAAAATTATTGATGAAACACATACAAAGTATAAAAAATTACATCAATAAAAGAGAGTTTAGAGTTAGTTCAAGCTCCCATCTCCTAACTGGTGAGAAGCCAACAAAGCTAGCAAAAGAAAGAAAACAGCAAGCAGCAATAAATGTTGTCAAATTATGATTAATCGTACCACATTGTCTATGTCAAGTGATTTTAAACAGACACAAAATAAAATAAAATTCCTCTTCTTCTTCTTTTTTATATTGATAAAAAAAGAATTAATTTTATTAACATCACTTAATTCAAAAGCATTGTAAATATAAAAGAGCAAATTGTTGAAAAGTCCAAATTAAGAAGAGTATAAAACGTTAGGTCCAATATATATTTTTTTGGTAAGAGGTTCACCTTTTGTAAAATAGTTTGGTGAGAAATTTTTTTGTTTATTTTGAAGGATATTTTGATTCCAATTTTACCCATTAATTTATCTATTGGTTTTTGTTATTTATCTGTTCAAATTTTTTTCCTACCTGTTCAAAAATTTTCCATATCAGTTCAATTATCTTCTTATATGTTTAATTTATGTAGGTTTCTCTCTCTATCTATTCAAATTTGATGGGTTTCTCTTTGTTCTTACCTGTCGAAACAATATTAGTTAAAATATTTGTTCATTTTTATTATTTGTCCAAAACTATTTCCCCTATCTATTCAATTGTGTTAATTCCTGTTCTAATTTTTATCTGTATAGATTTATCTGTTTAAAATTTCTATCCATTTTTTTATTTGTTAAAAAAAAATTGTTCAATTTTTTTCCCTATCTGTTAAAAATATATGTTGGAATACTTTGTTTCCCAGATCTACGACCACCACAACAACAACAATAACAATAACAACAAATCAACAACAATCAATACACAAAAAAAATAAATAAACAAATTAAATAAAAAAAAACACAGAAACCATAACCCTAGAGAGAGGAACGTATGTTATTATTCCAAGATAGGAGTATGGAAGGGGATTCTCAGAACCCTAAATCAAAATCTAAGAGTCAAAGATTCGAAGCTTTGATTCTCAAATCTGTGTTAAAACAATAACATACTCCATTGACTATCATCATCATCACCTTCTCCGTGATAAAAAAGTGGGAGAGGGATGTATACCAGTTGTGATGGTATATAAAAAGATGAATTAATTGAATAAATATTCCTTTTATTCAATCACAAACAAATTATTAACTCTCAAATTATCTACTCTCTTAGAATTCTTTTTATCTAGAGATGTTGTGTTTCTCCCTGGAGATTACATATTTCTCCTACTCTATCTCAAACAAAGTGCACAATGTTTCTTCATCCTTAAGATTCGACAATGGAGCTTCCTTGAAACTTCATCTTCTTCTTCATTTTGGCTTCCTCTTCTTCTCTCTGGAACTTTCCAGCAGTCTCTTTCTTGTTCTCCTATTCTTTGGAATTCTTATTCACCAAAATCAAATTGAGTTTGTCTTTCCAACATCCCCTCTTAAACTCAATTTGTTGGATTCTCTACATGATACTTCATATCTTCTCGTGGATGACCTCTTGTTTGGTCTTTGTAGACAATCCTCTATTGACTTCTATCTCTCTTTGAACAACCTCTTATTGTTCGTGGCTATCAACCACTGTTGATATCTTCTCTCTTCAATGTCTTAGAGCAACCACCTACTTGCTTGTCTCGTCCACGATATATGAGATGTCTTCTATCACCTTTCTATGATATCTTTTTTGTTGTATTCTTCAACTCCCTCTTCAAAAAATACTTTTTCACTTCATATCTTCAAATAAAATTT